ACACACACAAATCCTCCTCAGTTCTTGGTACTATGATTAGCAGAATCAAAAACCTGAAAAACCTATTGATTACTTCTGAAATCTTAATTCGGATTCCATTTAGTCAACCATCACATACACAGATTCTCAATGATTATCTACCCCAAAATTGAAACTACGATCCTCAAGTCAAAGCTCAAAATTCTTGAGAAGCAGAGAGAAAAGAAAGCTTACGGTTTTGGCGATGACGGCTCCCCAACCTTCATCGAAGGCTCGCTTCATGACGGTGTAGTTGGTACCGGGTGGACCCGACCCGATCACGAAAGGATTTGGCATTTTCAGACCATTTACGGTGACACTAAGATCAGGCTCCGACTCGGCGGCGGAGGAAGAAGAGATCTTAAGACCAACTCTAGTCGGCGGTAGAAAATTCCGGCGAGAGGAGGGATCAAAGTCGGCGGAGGATAAGCTGGTTTTAGCAGATAGTCCAGAGAAACGAGTTAAGGCGAAACTCATGGATGCCATGATTATAGATCAATCTGGAAATTTGCAGAGATTTTTGATCTCCTGCGAAGAGAGAGACGTGAAACTCAAAGGATAATGGCGAAATTAACAGAGAAAGAGAAGATAACACGCGACAAAGTGTTAAGACTTTCGAAATTGTGTTTGTTTTGATCAAATGGAATCGAACAAGGTAAGAAGGATTTTAAGAGAAGGGTGTGTTGTATAATAATTGGTCGGTTACAACTTTCATGCCATGTGGAAATAATTGAAGTTCTAACGAAAATTAATTTAACTAATGGCCCAAGATAATAATAGAACCAAATATTAAGTCATTAATCGTATATTAACAAATATTCTCTATCTTATCTCCTTCCTTCTTGTTTTTTTTTTTATACTCACCGATTGTTAAAAATTTCTACCGAGTGGGTAATGTTTATAACATAAGAGTCTCTATCAACCAATGCTTTTTTTGTTGGTTTACCAAAATGGGATTTGAAGTATGAATATTGGATTAATACGCCGATCAAGAATACCGTTTTCGTATATTGCCAACACGTCACGGAATCCAAATCCACCGTTAGGCTAAGGTTGTTTCTAGAGATATGAGTTTATGGGCCCATATAGAGTTTCAAATTGACTAGTGGGCCCACTAGCCCATCCGATCACACAGACGAAATCGTTCGTGAGCAGTAATCTAACACGTAAAGGTGGGAATGGACACAACAGAACTTGGTGGCTCTTATCGTTTCTCTACCTTTATTAGTTTGACCACGACTCTTACTTCTCTCGTTTAGTTTGCGTAACAAACATTAGAGACTTATAATGATTAGTAAAGAAAGCTAAAACGCAGAGAGATTCCTCTAAGAATTGTCAGAATTAGAGGCTTACAATATTTTGCAAACGTGGAAAATTATCTAAGGTTTAATGACTGTACAAATTGCAAAAAAATTACGAGTTTCTTTTTGAACTCTCTACATCAACAAAAATAATAATAATAATTCGATCTGTAATTGACGCTACAAAAAGAATAATTTATAAAATATCTGTATTAATACATCGACTGATCGAAGGACACACATAGACCACGACCTCGTATAATTTTCATGGTCACAAATATTTAAGAGAATATTATATTTTTGGTCGAGTTATTTCATTTTAGTATATAAATAATCAGATCCGACTCTCGTTATTTCAAAGAACCAACCAAACCAAAAAAAGTCTGTTTACCAGTAATATCGTTCGATCGCCATTCTCGACAGTTCTCTCTCTCTCTCTCGGTCTTTTAGAGTTTTCTTCTTATCTCTTTTCTCCGACCAAAATCTCGATTTCTTTTCTTTCTACTCTTACACATGGACGCTGCGACGGCGAGTTTGGTTCGATCTCCCGTCTTACCGCGTAGAACTTCCGACAACGGTTCTGGATCTATATTCCTTACCGCCAGTGGCCCTGGTTTCACGCGTTTTGGTTCGGAGCTTCAACTTCGTTGCAGGGTATGTCCTAAATCTCTTGTTCTTGATTCAATTAACCTAATTATATGATCAAAATCGACCTTTTCCCCAAATTTTATGCTCCTGTTGTGTTCAATCTGATTCTAACCTGGAAGTTCCTCTTAATTGGCCCAAAAATCAAGTTTTTTCCGATTCAATTTTCACACTTTCGTGCTTGAAATATCTGATTTCTGAGTGGAATTTCGCATAAGTGATCATTTTTACATGTTTTTAATCTTCTTACAGCAAAACGCGTTAGCTAGATTCTCGAGGCCATTGCAAAGCTTAAGAACATCTGCTAAAACTGGGAGAAGTTTTGTGGTTAGAGCTGCAGCATCTAGTGATGGCTCTTCTGGTTCGTCGTCCAAACCGATCGCGCCGCTTCAGCTAGAGTCTCCTGCTGGTCAGTTTCTGTCTCAGATTTTGGTGACCCATCCTCACCTCGTACCTGCAGCTGTCGAACAGCAGCTTGAGCAGCTCCAAACTGATCGTGACTCTGAGGGACAGAACAAGGATGCTTCCTCCGTACCTGGAACCGACATCGTTCTCTACAGGTTTGCTACAACTCTATGAACACTAGTAGGTTGGAATTAGTATTACCACACGGGAAATGAAAATTGCTAAATACAGTTATGCATGGGAGTCACGAACCTGGAAATTTGAAACTAATTCTTGATACAATCTTGCTTGAAGTATTAAGTGAAAGAGATGTGATGTGAGTTTTTTTTTGTGTGTAGATAACTGATAGTACCATGAGGAATATTTGATTAGTTGTGTTAGTGTTCAGTCACTAACAGATTGGTTGGTCCACTAGTCAGTGTTAAAGCTTCTATATATACTTGGAGACTTAGGTGTAAGAGACAAAAAAGATTGGAGTTTGATGCTGAAAAATAAATTGTTTTGTGGTTGTTTAGGAGAATCGCGGAGTTGAAGGAAAACGAGAGAAGAAGGACATTGGAAGAGATTTTGTACGCATTGGTGGTTCAAAAGTTTATGGAAGCTGACATATCACTTGTACCATCAGTAAGCCCATCTTCAGATCCGTCTGGTCGGGTTGATACTTGGCCGACCAAAGTAGATAAGCTTGAGCGGCTTCACTCTAGCGAGATGTATGAGATRATTCACAACCATCTAGCCTTAATTCTCGGAAGCAGGATAGGTGACCTGAATTCTGTTGCAGAGATAAGCAAACTCAGAGTTGGACAAGTTTACGCTGCTTCTGTGATGTATGGATATTTCTTGAAGCGAGTGGACCAAAGGTTTCAGCTTGAGAAGACAATGAAGATCCTTCCGGGTGGGTTGGATGAAAGTAAAACAAGCGTTGAACAAGCAGAGGAAGTGACAAAGAAGGCTGTATCCTCTCACCCAGAGGTAGGTTCATTTGCGGGTGGAGTTAGCCCCAAGGGCTTTGGCAGCGAGATTAAACCATCTCGGTTAAGGACATATGTCATGTCGTTTGATGGGGAGACGCTTCAGAGATATGCCACTATAAGATCAAGAGAAGCAGTTGGGATCATCGAGAAGCACACCGAGGCATTGTTTGGTAAGCCTGAGATTGCCATAACCCCGGATGGCATGGTTGATTCATCGAAGGACGAGCAGATAAGGATCAGCTTTGGTGGAATGAAGAGGCTCGTCTTGGAAGCTGTAACTTTCGGGTCTTTCCTTTGGGACGTTGAGAGCCATGTAGATTCAAGGTACCACTTTGTACTAAACTAAATTGGTCTGTAATGCAAATGACTAACTTATGTAACATTAAGAAGATTACCCATTAAGGGGAATCAATTACAGTTTGTATCAAAATCCGAGGAAAAAAAGATCGTACATTTATATGTTATAGCTAAAAGATGATAGGGATGCTAAACTAAGCAGGAAGCCTACCTAGCCTGCAATAGGACTTAAAAAAACTTAAAATGTATGTTACAAAATTACAGAAGAAATCCAATTTATTAGGCTTTTTACTTCAAACAGAGGAATGAAGAGTCTGTTTAGAAGTAACCCATTTGTGCAAAACCTCACCGAAGACATCGTAGTAGACAATCTCTGCATCTGAGTGAGTGAATCGAGCAGACATGAAGCCTTGACCATCGTAATAGAATCTCACAGACTTTGGATTGTTGGTCACAGGGTTAATATCTCCTCTCCAAGCTTTGGAACCAGCACCACTAGTTAGAAACTGAATAGGACTGTGTTCATCACTTATATGTTGAAGACAATGATCATGTCCGTTCATGTAGAGATCAACACCGTTCGCTTTCATTATCGGAAGAAGCTCCTCGTTAAGCTCTTTAGTGTCACCGTGATGTCCTATGCTTCTAATCGCGTGATGACCAACGACAATCTTCCATGTCGCTTTAGATCTCTTCAAGGAACCTTCGAGGTCACGTAAGAGTGATTTGACATAAGAGTTGCGAGATGGAACCGCGCGCCAATCATACGTGTGCCCATCTTCTTCAGTGTAGTATTCTTTCACAAAAGGAGTCGTGTCGACGAAAAAGATCTCGACTAACTCTGCGTCGACTACGAATGATCGAAGACAAACCCAACGGCTATCGATTTCCCGAAGGACAGAGCTAAGCTGAGCTTCTGAGTCACCTCTGTAATCATGGTTCCCCAAAACTGCATTTTTACGAGATTTGATAAGCAAAACAAACAAACAAAAAAATGACAAATTTGATCAAAAAGTTTCGAGATTTATGAGAATTATTACCACTGTACCACTGTTTCTGGAGACTAGGAGCAGTGTAGATATTAGAGAAAGATTGTTGGAAATTTGGATCGTGTTCACTAAACAATCCATTGTCGTAGAAATTATCTCCAGTAGACACCACGAAGTCTAAACCAATCTTTTCTCCAATCCTTCCCATCTGTAAAAAAAAAAAACGAATATAATTAAACTGTTAATTTAATACGTCGAGGGACAAAAAAGAATATCAAGTATGGTATCTTTAATAGAATATTCCAAAAAGGAATTTGTACCTGATAAGCGACGATAGACTGATTAAAGGAGCCACGGCGACCCCAATCTCCGATGGTTATAAAACTAACGGAACCGTCGCTTTTCGCCGGCTCTATAAATCTCTGAAGCTCACCGTTCGATACAACGACGGTGACGAAGATACACAGTACCAAACACAGATTCGCCGCCGAAGCGGACATTAACGATCGACGAGAATCCATAACTGTTATTGATCACGCGTCTCAGACAAATATAATAAGCTTGGGTGTGTTTGTGTTTTGTTGGGACAGAATCTGTATGTATTCGAATTGTATCTCTCTCTCTGTAGATTCGAAAGAAAGAGAGAGAAGGGGGAATTTGGATGATTAAGGTGTGCAGAGGAGGAAGAGAATGGTGTAGAAGACGATGAGGAAAGGAGGGAGAAGAAGATCCTTTTAAAACCGAAAATAAATTAAAGGTGAAAAAGAAAAAAAACTGAAAAAGGTGCGGTTAGAGATGCTAAAGGATATTCCAACCAGTAGCCGCATC